TCCCATGATCCTCCAAGTACAGCCCACCCCAAGACCAGGACCTGCAACTATCAATCTGTCGAGCTTCCTCAACCTCACAAGCTCGAAGAAGACCGAGCAGCCAAGAAGTTGAAAAACCTAAGCGCTAAACCCTAAATCCGAAGCCCTAAACCCTAAACTCCTCAATCTTGGGTTTAGGGTTTAGGGTTTAGGGTTTTCAGACAAGCTGCTAAGAAGTTGGAGAAGTTCGAGACGCAGCCCACTAGAGCAGGCTGTCTCTGGATGCGCACGCGGCCGGCGCTCTCATCTGCGAGGAGGAGGTCGTTCCTGGGTTTGGGGTTTTCGGGTCTTCGGGTTGAGGGTTTTTTAAGGATTAGCGGAAAACCCCAGCAAGGCCAAACCAAAACGCTTCCTCGTAGAGCATTCGATCCAATGGATGCAATCCCCACAGCCGATAATTACACCCCACACCCGAAGCCCTGCCCTCAACCCTAAACCCTAAACCCCAAGACTCAAACTCTAAGGCCCTGAACCCCACGCTAGGGCAACCCAGGCACAACTTCCGCTCCACCACATTTGCCTCGATCGACTCTTCGATCTCAGTTACGCCATCCTGAAAAAGGTCCGCACATCAGAGCTTCAGAACATGAGATAAGGTCTAGACAACAGGATCCTGTGTCTAAGACCCCTCGAAGAAGGTAACCTTGCTGTAACAAATTCCCGCATTTTGCGCTTAGAGCAAAGGCTTCCTGCTTTCCAGGTGTGAAGGCTTTCAGTATACTTGTCTGGGTCTGCGATCAGGGTTTAGGGCTTAGGGTTTAGAGCTTAGAGTATGCAGATCTCTTCTGATGCTCCCTCGCTCTCCGCGTCCTGCTTGTGGAAGTCGATGGCCTGGTTCCCGATCAGCCTGCAGCAAGAGCCACCACTATCGTCAGCTCTTGGGGGTTTCGGGTTTGCGGTTTGGGTTCAGGGGTGCAGGGGACAACTTTTTGGTTCAATTTTGAGCTCTATGGATCCAAAGTGTTCGTGCTTCCTCAGCTTGCTCCCCACCACCAGGATGATCAGTGAGACTATCACCTGCATCACCGGTGACCTAGCTGAAGCCGAGTAGCAATGTATGAATAGCCCTCGCAACCCTGAATCACTGAAGTCCTAAGCAAAGAGTCCCTCATTACTACTTGGAGGATCATGGGACTTAGTAAGTAAGGTTCTAAGTCCCTTAATTGGTTATAAGTAAATATAAGTACAGTTACCTTAATTATAACCCTACTTACTAAATCCCATGATCCTTTAAGTACCCTGACCCAACAGCAACGATTCTTCATGACCTCCGGCTCTGACCGAAACGCAGAAGCTTGTGGCCCGAAGCCCTAAACCCTGAAGTCCTAAACCATTATAATCCCCTTAAAGCCTAAGCTCTCCCAAACCTTACACCCTGAAACCCAAAGCTCTCTCCAAAAAAAACCTTAAACATTAGACTGGACCCAAAAAAAAACTCCAAAAAAAACCCTAAACATTAGATTGGACCCTTAAATGAACTCTAAAAAACCTTAAACCCTGAACTCTAAAGCCTAAACCCCGGCCCACGGAGGCTTTTGCAACCGAAGGACCGAGCTGCGTGGCTGGAGAGGAGTCGTTCCTTCCCGGATTGGCATAGGGTTTAATGTTTAGGGCTTTGGAGCTTTTTGGTTTAGGGTGTGCAGGGTTTAGGGTTTAGGGGTTTGTTTTTGTTTAGGGTTTAATGTTTTGGGGTTTGTTAGGGTTTAATGTTTAGGGCTGTTGGGCCTTTTGGTTTACGGGCTTAGGGGTTTAGGATTCAGGGTTTGGGATTTTTTGGGGTTTCATGTTTAGGGCTTTAGGGCTTTTTGGTTTCGGGTTTGCAGGGTTTAGGGTTTAGGGGTTTAAGGCTTGGGTTTTTCGGTGGTTCAGCGATTAACATGGCAAAAAACGGTGAGTACTTGAGTACGATGCAGACATGGTATATTGCGACTGAACATCGTTTGTTAATGTCGCGACAGATGGTTGAGTATGGCATCATCTCCTTTCAATCCGCTTCAGAGGGCTTCGTGCGGTTGAGTCTGGTCGGGACGGTTTTGGGCTTTAGGATTTCGGAGTGGTTCAGGGTTTAGGGTTCAGCGTAATCTAGAGTTCATAGTTTTAGGTTTCGGGTTTGGGCCTTACACCTTTGGGTGTCAAGCTGGGTATTTCGAGTTGGAGATTGCGAAAAAGCAAGTTTTGTGTGCTAGTGTAGAGGCCTTAATAGCCTTAGTAAGCAACCAAAACACGGTTTTGGGGTATCGCATATGGGGCCGATAATGGGATGTTTACAGTCATTTTTCAGACCAAAGGATTAGGCTTGAGATATGACCCTTTCAATGCGAAGCTCCGAGCCCTCAATCCCTGAAACCTGCCTTTCCGATCGGGGTCCATTGCCCCAAACTCCCAGAAAAACAAAAGCAAAATTCACTGGCCTCAATGCGCCGCACGGCATCCCGCAAGTCCTGGGCGGAGTAGTAACAGTAGCAGTAGCAGTAGCAGTAGCAGTAGCAGTAGCAGTAGCAGTAGCAGTAGCAGTAGCAGTAGCAGTAGCAGTAGCAGTCGAGGTAGCAGTAGCAGCTACAGTACCAGCATCAGCAGCAGTAGCAGTAGCACTAGCAGTAGCAGTAGCAGCAGTAGCAGTAGTAGTAGTAGTAGCAGTGGCAGTAGCAGTAGCAGTAGGAGGAGTAGTAGGAGTAGTAGGAGTAGTAGGAGTAGTAGGAGTAGTAGAAGTAGTAGGAGTAGTAGGAGTAGTAGGAGTAGTAGGAGTAGTAGGAGTAGTAGGAGTAGTAGGAGTAGTAGGAG